GTATGTATATGAATAATAGATTCCTAGGTAGTTATGTAATATATTAAAAGTTAGTCGGTTTGTATCCAGTCTTTTGTAATCAGACTATCAATGTAAAATATTATTTATAAATATGCATGTAGCATTTTTTGGAGTAACAATATTGTGAAGTATGAAAGTTTGGGTCTTTCAGAAGTATCAAAGTTAGGGTATTTCACTACTCCATTGCCGACAACGACAAGGACTGTTGGCGGATGTTCGTTCATCTATTGTCACTGTTATAGGTTGCATCGCCGCCTCCTTTTCTCCGTTCTTCGCTTACTCCGCCTCAGCCTCGACCACCACGACCGTTGTATCTGTTGCTGGCAAAGAACGAAGTCTGACGGGAAGGAGCGTTGGGACCATTGGGAGAAGCTGAAAGAGCTGAACGTTGTTGCTGTCATCGGAAACCGTTGTTGTTGCCACCGTCAATATCGTTTCTGCCGCCACCATACGCCACTAGGTGGGTGGATGGGTCCATCTTGCAATCAAATGTGTGTGTGGTGTGTTTCCATTATTACTGTGTGTTGGGTGGGGTTTTGTTTGGTCGGAAAACCGAGAAAAAGCGACCACCACCACCGTGAGGTGGTGCCTGCTACCTTCTACCATTGCCAGCCACCATAAGGGTGGTTGTGTGGGTGCATTTATCTTATTGTGTGTGGGTTATTTCGAGTTATTGCATTATGTAATTGTAATTAGTGACTAGTATAAACAAAGAAAACTCATAACCATCACCGTAAGGTAGTAGCTGCCACCACCAGCCGTTGTCTGGGGTGGCGATGTGCTTTTGTTTGTGTTTAGACTACTTTTGGAATGCTTGGACATAAATAGAATACAACCATGACCACCACTGTGAGGTGGTCTTCGCCGTTGTGAGCCATTGTTGACCACCACTACCCAAGGTGGTAATGGGTGGTGCCCGACTTATGAAACCTTAGTGGGCCTAATGAAACCCTAATTGATCTAAAGGCTTAGCTTTTGGGCCTAATCGGGTTGGGTTAGAGTTGGAAACCCTAATTAGGGTTTAGAAAACCCTAATTTTGGATATGGGTTTTGAAATGTCGGGACCCGCATTTAGGGATTTGGTTTGGACATCATTAATCCATGAAAAGTCATAAAGTCGTGAAGTTTATGAGTTAAGACGTCCCTTGGAATTAGATCTAGAAGTTCGACGTTTTGTCTTAAGGCATTAAGTGCTTAATGGGAGATTTAGCAATTAGGGGCATATGTTAGGGGTACATAGTCGTACACTCAGCGTAATGTGTTGCGGTCCCATCTCCGTTGCTGTGAGAACTTGTACATCGGGCGTAATAAGGTGGTACGTCGGGTGTACTCACTAGAAGTCCTTTTGGGCCTTAGGTCTTTTGGGTCATTCTTCGGCCTTAGTTCTTTTGGGTCATTCTTGGGCCTTAGGTCTTTTGGGTCATTCTTAGGCCTTAGGTATTTTGGGCCATTCTTATGCCTTAGGTCTTTTGAGCCATTCTTGGACCTTCAGGGTCTTCTAGGCTATTAGTGAGCCTTGGGTCATGGCTTGTTGGGCCTAGAGTACGAAAGGTAAAAGGGTCTTTTACCCTTTGTGATAGGGATTATGATTTGGACTTTCATTTATTACCCTAAATAGTGATTAGGCGTGGTTTTACTATGTTTAATGTGAGGAGCCATTGTAATAGCAGCAAGAGAGTATGATTCGTGCATCTTCAGATTAAGGTGAGTTTCATCATTGTATTTGTGGGTCGAAGGTACTAATGTCGGCTCATTGGATTATGATATAGGATGGTAGTGATCTACATGATAGTTATTGATATGCATGCTTATTGTCTTTTGGACTCTTTCCGGTATGAATGTATGTTTTAGCGGTAGGGGTGAAATAGACCCGTACCGGTTGAAAGATACCGAAGGAGTCAAAAGAGACCCAACGAGTCGGAAGGGACTCATATGTATGATGTATAGTATGTGGTATTTTGGAAACTCAATAATTTTATGCTTATGGTTTAATTTTATGTTTCAGGTACTTCTGGTTCGAGAGGGAAGGGTCTAGCTTGATCGCAACGCATTCACCAATGTTTCGCAATTTTTATGATTTTTGGATTTGTACTCTGATAACTATTTTTATACTAACATATTTTGATGGTTGTTTGATATAATTGATGAATTTTAGTTGAGTTAAAAATGAAATTTTTGCTTATGATTTTTAGGATGTTACAATATCAATTTTTTTTTACAATTGGGGTTGAGGTTTGGATGTGTTGGTGTTGTTTTCTTTTGACAATTGGCCCAGTGGTTTTACGGGTTGTCGCTTAAGGAAGATTGCCAAGGATGCGTTGGAATGAGTTTTATTTGCTATGTGGTGGTATATCCGACTTTTCATGGATAATACCTTATTTGGCTTTCTTGGGTTGATATTCACACAAAACTGTGGTAGACAAACCATGTTTGGAGGTGATTATTTTGACGATGGCTTGGGTGTTTTGGAGACATCGGAATTCGGTTTTGTTTGACAACAAACCGATTCGTATAAGTGTTATTTTTTATTCCATTATTTTAAATTCTTTTAATTGGGTAAATAGTAATGGTTTCAAAATAAATGTTAGTTCGAATGCTTGGTTATATTCTCCTTTTTAATTGATATCTTGGTTTTTGGTTTCTAGTTTCTTGCTAGAATCCTTTGAATATGTGAATCTTTAGTTGTTAAAAAAAGATTTTATTTGGAAAAGAGATGTCTAAGAAAAGTCTCATCTTTGATAGAATTGTCTCACAAGCATTTCATTGACGCTCTAACAGGTCTAAGGTGTTGTTCAAGGTTTGATGGCTTCAAAATCAGATTCTGACTATTGTGTAACGTTTTTGGTTTCCTTGTATTTTCGATTCTAGCTTCTTGCTAGAAGGTTTTTATCAAATTTCTGTCGTCCGAAAAGAAAATATCTTCAACATAGAAACTAAAGGTTAAAAAAATGTAAAAGTAATGTAGTTGTCATGCTTGCACAATTGTTCTTTTGATTTAGGATTATTGGAACGAATTTTCTTTCTTATCATTGATTCTTTTTAATCACTATAGTTTCTCAAATGATATGTAGTCTATCATCATCAAAGGCTTATAGTCTTGGTAATATTATGATTTGGAAAAAAAATGTCTTTCGTTGTATTATGGTTTTTTTTAAATGTCTACTCTTCTAAAGGGCTTAGGGTTCAAGTCTTGCTTGAAATTATAAAGAGATTAGAAAAAATTCAAAAAATGTAGCGTATCATAGATACATGTTTGTTGTTCATAGTGGTCCTACAACTGAACTTACCATTATAAAACATGCTAAATGATCAAAAGAAAATGTTATTGATTTCTTAAAACTTAGTTGTGCATAGAGGTTTAGAATATATTTAACTATTGGGCAAATATCATATGAGCCCATCGAATTTGTTGTGTTTGTTTTAAAAGGTCACCCAACTTTTTTTTGGTACATTAAAGGAATGAACTCTCGTTTTCCTGTTTTAAAATATCCTTATGTGACTTGATACCAGGTAAAGCTGTAAAATGTGTGCCTTACCACTGTTTGACAATCAACTGCACCTCTACCTCCATTAAAGTATACTCACTGTATCTACCCGTCTTGATCAGGTCAACTGGTTATTTTCATTTTTAGATCAATCGAACGGAAAAACTTGGTGATTGATTATTGATTTGTATGTATATGACTCTGTACATTGAAAAACAAGAACAAATTAAAGAAGATGAAGAGGGAAAAGAGATAGAGATAAATTATCTCTAAGGATTTTGATAATTGCCAATTGTTGTTCTTCACATAATTAACTGCTGAAGCAGCCCCGTCCATTTACCTGCAACCTTTAACAGTCTCGAGACAACGATCCCTCCTCGTGATTGATTAAGAGCTACCGACCCACCGATTTCCTGATTTTGTTCATATTCCTTCCTTTCCTGATCTGCCTTCTGTTCCTCGTTTCCCTTTGCCTTTACTCGTTGACCCATCAACGCCGATGTCACCCCTCATAGTTGTTTCTCTTCCCTCGATTAGTGAGTACCGATGACGAAGAGCAAACCAAAAAAGGGCCATCACAACTCGATTACCCCCCTGACGAATTTGCCATCACCTGGCCAAGAACAACCACCATCGTCTCCTTATTTCTTCGAATCGGACGCACCCCGGAGTAACTTTTCCGACCCACCCACGATCGATGCCCATCGGAGCTGCTTTGATGGCATTATGTTCCTTTTCTCGTTCCCGATTAGTCGAAGGGGGAAGAAGATGATGCCCCTTCCTTAGCTGGAGTCGTTTGATAATTGACACAGGGCTTCAACCTAAAAAAAAAAAATAAACGACTTTGTTGACCAAGTCAAAGGTCAAAGCAAAAATCAAACTTTCATTTTAAAACCTGTTATAATAGGTTAAGTGACTTTTATAACAGGTTGAACGAGAGTTCATTCCCTTAATGTATCAAAAAAAAAAGTTGGATGACTTTTTAAAACAAACATGACAAGTTCGATGGACTAATATGACATTTGCTCTTAACTATTAATAAAGTTCTTGATTAAGAACGAAATATTTTTTTCTCGAATGGCACAAAGATTTTATTAAATTAAAAAATACAAAATATTAAAAAAATGATTTCTTTTTCCATAAAACTAAACATAGAAAGTAAAAATTGTATTTTTAATTGGAGGGACCATTAACTATTTAATTGTTTTGAGTAAAAATTCTATTTTTAATTGGAGGGACCATTAACTATTTAATTGTTTTGTTAAGAAAAAGGCATTGGAAATTGGAAGGGTGGGCGTCGTATATTTCCAAGGTTGTACTTTTGTTTCTTTTGATTTGTGTTTTGACGACACACATACCACTAAATTTTGTTTAGTTTGACACTATACTCTTGTACGAGGTTTCTTTAATTTAATAGAAGATTCTTTGGAATCAACTACAAGTTATAGTTTTCAGTATTTAATTAGAACTACAGACTTAAATAACTAAAATGGAAGACGCTTAAATGATTACCACTGAATAATTAAGTCATAATTCTCCTTAAAATACATCAAACGATTCCATAACTTTAAGCATGAACACTTAATGCAAAAATCTTTCATTATATTATCAACAATTACCCACAATGCAAACATGCTAACAACATCGATATAAACACATGCATGACTTTTTTGGGTAATCAAATCCGAAGATTACAAACATTTTCCAAGTGGAAACTACTAGCCTTTATCAATTATCATGACTCTTCAAAATGGTGATCCGTTTCATCGAAGATTTCCTCCTAAATGACAAAAAAACCCTTGTCAAAATGTACATTGGTTATATATTAATATTAGGGAATTTACCTGTAAAAGTTCTTCAATTACATCTTCCATTGTTATTACACCAACTGCTTCTTCATCAGGGACTGGAAGTGGTTTTCCATCTATATCCAATATGTCTGAATACATTTCTTTATTCCATTTTTTACTGCTGAAGTTTCCTTTGAAAGAATTACTGCCCCTGCTTGGGAAACTCTTCCACTGCTTGAAGGATCTTTTTGACTGTAAGCTTTTTTCTAGAGGATTTTTATGATCTCCATCAACATCCACTCGCACTTCCTTCACACCTTTCTCTATTGCAACACATGTTTGTTAGACACTCTCGTCTGTGCAAAAGACATAAATACCCTCCTCCTTCCTCATCTCTATAATAATAATTATAATAAATTACCAGATAATGGAGTCTTCATTCCAGCCTCCTGTGGTGTCTTAATACATTGTCTCACAACAACAGCCATGTGACTGTGACCTTTTTGAAATTCATTCAAGATGTCATATAATGGAAGAGATTCTGCAACCCTACAACAAAAAATATGTTATTGAATTAGAATTTTTTTTTTTTTTTTTTTTTTAAATCACTTAAACATTTATAACATACTTGGGAATCCTGCGAATGGTGACACTCTTAACTGGGACTTCCTCATCTGTATGAATAGTCAACAAATTTTTCACCTAAAATACCAAAAGTAAAAGGTATTGAATTTACTTGTCAAAAAAAATAAAATTCATATGGTAACAGATTACATAAATAATAGTACCAGAATAAGTCCAATTATATTTGTTGGTTGCTCATAGTAGACAGGTATCCTGCTATGCCCTTTCTCCAAAATGATATTCATCAATTCCCTGTAAGTTGTAGTGAATGATCAGAGATGTTTTTAATTATTAAAGATTTAAAAAAAAAAAGAATAAGGTTGTTGAGAAAATTAGTAAAGAAAACCTGTCAAGTTTGGCATTAATATCAATGGAAAAGGTATCAGATATAGGAGTCATGGCATCACTGGCTGTTTTTTCAGTGAGTTCAAGTGCTCCTGCAATTATTGTTGTCTCATCATGTGTTAGTTCTCCACCTTTACCAGCCTGTTTTCAAGGATACAGATACACAAAACAATTTATGAAACTTGAAACAAAAATAAACCCATAAATTACAAAAATGGTCCCTGAGTATCGCTGTTTTTTGCAATTTTGGTCTTTATTTTGATCAATGTTAACCGTTTTTGTAATCTACACAAGAAAAAATAAAGACACGTACCTCATTCCCATGAAAATTAACAAGTGTTTTCAACTCTGCTCTTCGGAAAAGAGCAACATGTTCATGCCCCAGAAGATAGTCTAGTAACTGATCAATTTGGGAAATATAGTCAAAGATCAAAAGTTTCAGATAACTAGTGGATTATTACATGATATAGAAGGCATACTGAATCACCTTGCTTATAGGATATGCAACAGGAAAGCAAATCCAAACAAGAACACGCACAAATGGAGATACAGTTGCACCAATAGCAAGTCCATGCCTTGTACAAACAGATTGTGGTATGATCTGTGAATGGTAATAATGATCAGTGAAAGTGGTAAAAAGAATGTTGGTTTCAGGTTTCAAGATTTAATCAGTTAATAGTTTACTCACTTCACCAAATAGAAGTATTAATGTCACTGAAATGAGAATAGCACCCCAAGCTGTGATCAGACTATCCAGGAAAATTGGGAGAGCCTGAGAAAGATGATAACTTTTTTATATTATAACAATTTGTTTCAAAGAATTATAACTAAAAGTCTAAAATTACCTCCATTGCTGCAGCATTGCAAATGAGAAGTGTACAGAGTAATAGATGCTGTTTTTTAACTACTGGTAGTATCTTCTCTGTTGAGAAAATGAATTAATACTCATTAGGGTTATTAAAGTGAACAAGAAAATTTGGACTCTTGTATACAAATGCTAGAAGTGTACATGTTTCTTTCTTTCCCTTTCGAAGAAGTATGTTCTCTTTCTCTGGCTTGTATAGTTTAAGCATTAAGTTATTCAATGTATCATGATTGTGTTTCCTTGTTTTAAAAATCTTTGTTGGTTTTCTTTTGTGATTATTTTAAGAATATGCATATTACTTTATAAAGGGGAACACCCATCCCCAACTTCCTATATCTTTCTTCTTATAGATTATATCTTTTAGAAAACAGTGTGATGTTGTCTGCCATATTAGAACACCAAGTGTATAAAACCTACCACTACCACACTGAATTAATAGAAGGGGTGAACAGATGTTTCCCTTCAATTGCCAGAAGTAAGATTGATTCGGACCTATTTCTAACAGGAGTTCCTCAAATTAGAAGGGTGTATGCTAATAAGAAGAGCAAAGAAACAAAAATCCAGAAAAAGCATACACTAAATCGCACAAATGTGTACAATTACAAGAAAAAAACGAACTATCACAAGCAATTAATACACAGGTAAAACAAAAAATTAACAGAAAACGGAAGAATCGAACCAAATACCTGCGTATATACGGTCTTTAGGAGTCCCAGATTTAGCAAGAACTTCCAAATCAACAAGACTCAACGACATGAGCCCTAAAGTAAGCCCGGACATCAATCCGGCAAACAAAACTAACAACACTACTATCCCAATATGAATAAAGAACTGGGGTTCACAACATGAGTATTCGATCGTCATAACAGTAGAATCAATTTGGTTCTTCTTAATGCTTTCGTATCATAATTTGTTACCGAAACCCTAACTCCCGCCCTTCTAAATCAAATTTAACAATACGGAGATCAACGGGTGCAATTGAGAAGTAAATTTGAGACGAATAAAGGTTGACAGAAAGGAAGATATGGTGGCAGCATGATGACATGTCGAGGGATTGAATGAGAGCCAGAAAGAGAAGAGAATCGTGTGGTGATTGAGGATTCTGGTAATGAACAGATCACTGCTGGATGGCGACACACGGGTCACGACCATTATTTTGTTCAATAAATGATTTAAAGTTTATTTGTCCTTTTAGGGCCAAGAAAAAAGGACGATGGAATGTGTTGTCCATGTCCATTTAAAGAGTAAACTACAATAATGCAATATAATTGATAGCATTTAATTAAACTTGATGGTTTTATATGGTCATGGATTCATGGTGTTTGATACTTTGATATAGACCCAGAAGACAAAAGATTATATGAATGTGACCTATCTAGAACGGTGGAATAATGTTGGACAAAAGTGTCTCTAGCTCTTTGGTTCTCCGTTCCTCATCTTTCCTCTTTGTAAGATGAAACAAAATACAAAGCACAGATAAAATTTTATAACAAGCAACAGAATATGAAGCCCCAGAGGAGAGGGGTTGGGGATGAAGTTGCCGGGTAGCAAGATTATAGGGTTATATCTTGTATTAGTCTTAGCAAACACATATGTAAGGTCCACTTTCATGCATGTTTTCATCATGCCTTATTATCTCACTTTATCGTATTTTACGAATTATCATGAAGTTCGTGCATTCCACGATATAATGGGATTTACACATATTTGAATAGATTCGATGTGTTTTTGTGTATGTCTTTGTATTGAGAGGAATTTAATGCAATGCAAAATGGGAAATTAGGTTGATGTGATATGTGATCCAAGGATGGTCTCCGAATGATAGCAGCTTCAACGGGGAGTTTTTATCACAATCAGAGAAAATAAACAACGTCAGTCGCTTCCTAGGAGGATGTCTCGGGAAGGCGTATCGATGATCAAGTTAGTATTGGTGAGAAAAGTGTATCATAAGGATATGATCTTGAGGCATGTTGACATTTTTATAGCAAGGATCACTGAAGTATCCTTAAGGGACAAGAAGGACAGTTCTGACGAGGGAGAGTGACGAAAAGATTTGTATGTCTAATCATTATTATAAAATGATATTTTCTAATAACATATGATCATTTATGGTCACACTTTATATCAAATAAATATTTATTGATTATTTATTAGAATTTCATTATTAATAAACATTATCAATTCTTGTATTCAATTAGGAAATTATTATTTTATGGAAAGTAATATTTTCCAAGAGATAAAACTACTAGTTACTCATAAGGTATGATTAAATAAGCAATGCATAATATTTTGGACTAGTTAGAGTTCATTTATATATTATGTACATGTGTTACATAAATAAGAAGAAATGAATACATTATAACTTTGACTTTACTAGTTAAAACTATGGGTCTATGGTCCCCAATTATGGGTGAGTTTTTCTTGTGAAACAACCTCTTACATTTTCATGCTTCTTATTTCATAACATGCTTTCATTAATTACAAGCAAAGTCCATTGTACATGCATGTAAGTATATAAAGAGAATAAAAGCTAGTCATTTGGTTACTTCTTTCTTCTTCTTTTTCTCTCAAAGATGTAGGTTTTATGGCTCTTTCATTCCCTTCTCTTGAATGGTGTGGTGTAGAGTTAATGTCCTTTTAAGTGATTATCCTAAAGACTAATTTGGTATTTGTAATGCCTACTGATTCGGGTTAGTCAGTTTAGAGATAATAAGCGTTAAAAAAGACTTTTTGATAGAAGATTGTTTAGAATAAATAATCTTAACGAAAGTTATATTATATGTCACAAGGATTACGTATATATAAAGAACGTTGAAATCCGACTTATAACGAAGAAGTTATGACCAGTCAAAGTGTCACAATCAAACGGCACGGTTCTGCGTATCGTAAAAAGTAAATTTTTGATAAATTACATTTTAGCCTTAGTGATCTAAACAAAATTCGTAGTAGTTGTTAAACCGAGAGTGTGCATATAGAGAACGTCCAAATCTGACTTCATTTGAGGAACTTATGATTTTTCTAAGATTTAACGTAGCAGTCTACAGCTCAGAAATCGAATTTTAGATCGATCGATTATTAGCCGATACTATCTAAATGAGAATTCAAGATCATGTTAATAAGAGCTCAACAATATAAAGACAGAAGAAAACGAACGTCGGGTGACAAGGTTAAGAATTTTTAATGGACTTTAACTGTCTAAGACTGTTAAAATATAATTTTAAAAATAAAGTCAAAATTAGCCGATGGAGTCTATGTAGATCTTGTTATGAGAAAGTTATGGATTTTACAAAATAACTAATTTTCGGATTAACAAAAGGGTGTCACGTATGGCGATCTGGCACACACCTTCCTCCCCAAGGCTTGCGATATGATGATGACATGTGGCCCCCAGTGCACTCTGCGTAAGATGAGTACGCTCTATATACTGGACCACTTGCAGCCTATAAATAGAGGCCGAATTTTCACTCTTTTCTTCACATATTTCCATCACTTCTCTTCCAAAATCCTCCCAAGGTCCCAAAAATTTTCTTCAGTACTTCTTAGGTGTTAGTAGCGAAGCTCTGGAGCGCCAGAAAGCCCCAAGAAATAGAGCTTTCGGTTTAGAAGTTCTGCCCGTGCAAAGTCCGATTTCTCGCTAAACCACTTGTAAGTTGAGTTATGTCTACCGTACTTGAAGTATAACTTATGTTTAAGTTCATTATCGTTATTATGAACCTATAAACAAGATTTGTCAATAAATCCAAGTTGTTATACTGATTGATCTACTTATGGGAGAGGTGTCTAGAATAGTCACGTTGGCTTGGTTGTTGGATTTCAAAAAAGTTATACGCCGAAATGATCATGCCTCCCAACTGTCCTACCTGGCTGATCCTTACTTGATAGATCTTGAAGTATACTTTGAATTAATGATGAATCTAGACTAATAATTAGTCACAATAAATATTATACTAAGACTTAGTGATAATGATACTAGGTTACATCAAAGGGAAAGACAGTTGCTAGAAGCGAAGCGTTGTCCGAATTTCGAATCGTCACTTTAACAAGTGAGTGCACAATTACTTTCATCTTACACATATACATGAAATATTTAAGATAAATTACATGCTATATGTGCCTATTATCTATGTTCCTGATATCTATGCTAGATGAATGATTTATACATGTTTTACTTGATTTAAACTATATATGTAATTTTTACCTATAAATATATTGGGTAAAGATGGGTAGATGAAAGATGATATAGATGATGAGAGATAAAAGATGAAACGGATGGTGAAAGGCTTTGACTTTAAAGATGATGTTATCTAGCAGAGTATAAATGACAACCACAGACTATTCTAGACAGTCAAGTGGAATGCTAGCAGACTCGCAACCTGTAGGTGTTTGTGAACCATGTGTTCATTAAATGTACTCTAAAAACCCATTGACATGTATTATGGGTGGACTCCCTAAAATAGTACTATCAATAAAGAAGATAAACTCCGGCAGCTATGAACTTAGTACCTAATAAATAACACTGGCAACTATGAACTTAGTGTCTAATAAATAACACTGACAGCTATGGACTTAATACTTATTAGATAAACCCTGGCAGCGATGAACTTTGTGCTTATTCCTTAGGAAAATTCCTCAGGAATAAATATGGATGAATACCCACTGATGAGTATCATGGAGGAATCGGTGAACTAGTATTGCCAACATAGATGATCCTTAGGGTAGATCCTTAAAAATAAAGAAGATAATGGGGATAGGAAATTGAGTTAATTTTTTGATGATTAAACATATTAATTATATTATTGTGGGTTGAAAACCCTACGTAGTCACCAGGTTTCCTAACCTGGCCCACTCGGTTTATTGTATCACATGTAGTGATATTAAAGATACATTATGCTGAGAGATTCAAAGAGATGTAAATCATTAGTGTAAATTAATGTAAGGTATGTTTATGCTTATGTTTTTGTATTGATGATGACATCCCAATGTTTTAATATAAATAAAATACATTTCTTTGGAAATGATTTGATAATATCTTTACCATATTTTTGGGAACAAATTCCACAGTATAATTCTTCAAAGATATACTCTGATTTTTAAATAAAGCATAAACAAATTGATCTTTTATGGCCGTGAAATTGGGGATGTCACAGTTGGTATCAAAACATTAGTTTAAGCAAACTAGGAATTTGTAAGATTTTTCGACTTAAAATTAGAATGCTAAACGATGATTGTGAGATGAGTGTATGTTATATTTAGGAAATATACCTAAATAGACACAAACACTAGCTTATTTTAGGAAAGATACCTAAATTTCTTTTATGTGCTAAGTGATTTATGTTATAGATATAAGATACCTTATATGCCTTATGATGCTATTATTTGATCAGATCTATGCTCTAACGCCGATCGGATCTAGAAACTTTATGTGTTGAGATTTGTAAACGTTTAATTACGATATTAAAACCGGCATGTGTCTTTTTGGAGTGATAAGGAGATTTGTACACATATGTAAATAAAGCTTTCCCTATCTTAATTATGGTCGTTGTACAGTGAAAATTTGTTTTCACTATATTAATTCTTGTTGCTGTACACTGAAAATTTGCTTGGGTGTATAGATCGAAATTGTGAGAACTCACAACAGATTAGGAAATGCTAATAGAAACCAGTGGCCTGAGCCACAAGTGATTTAGCATGCACCAGAGGTAGCAACTGCACCCGAGCCAATCATGATGGCAGGAGTACAACCAATGATTCGGGCTATGATGGCCCAAAAAAAGGAGTAAATGAGACAAATGTTGTATAATAACAAGGATGAACCTACTGTACCCATTGTATAACTTGATCTGGACATAGAACAGTTAGAAGAAGGGAACTATAATCAAACTGTCAGTCAAACTGAGCCTCGTGTGGTTAGAAGGAACCAACCCAATGAAGAGATGATAGGTGTGGGTACAAGTACAAGGATTTCATGGCATCCAAGCCACCAAGTATTTCTGGAAGCCCAACACTGGTGGAAGTCATGGATTGGATCTCCGAGATGGAGATGATGTTTGAAAGTTACGACTACAACAACAAGCAGAAGACTGTGCTCGTGGATACACAATTGAAGACTGGGGTATTAAGCTGGTGAAAGCTACTAGCCGATACCATGCCCAAAGGAGAAGTTAGTTGTAACATCCCAAAATTCAGGTACATCTATTTAACCCTTCTTCTTTACCAAGTTGTCAAGTTTAGCCCTTGAGTGGAAAATGTTGCAAATGAGTACGCAGGGCGTACTGAAGAGTACGATGCGCGTACCATGTGATTATATTGCACGCAGACTCAATTAGATATGTTAGGCATACCAAAGTTACGCTGGGCGTAACTGGCTCAGATGCAAAACCCTAAATGAGACTTAAGGACTATAAAAGGAATGATAAGGCCCTTACCCCAGCCACCATATTACAGTGAGTGAAACCTTAAGAGAGCAAAAACCCGTTATAAGCTTGTGTGTGTGTTCTTAAGCTTGAAAGTGCCATTTTGTGGTGGTAAAGGAGAAGAGGAGGCCATTGTGGGAGCTAGAAGTTGGAGGACAAGCTTGGATTCGAGTTCTACAGAGGTTG